GTTAAAAATAGGAGTCAGCGCTTCAATATTGCACAGCTCCCTCAGAGTGTCGGGGAGTGTAATTCCTCATCGGATACCGACAATTCACCGCGAGTTTCGTACGTCAGGGGGAACGACGGTCGGACGATCGGTCGAATCGTCCGAGTCGATAAATTGTATTAGCGCGAAAGAATTCCGAGATATATGTAGATTAAACTAGCCGAGTCCGTATGTGTGAATTATTTTCGCGGCGACGCGGCGAGCGACGAGAGAGAATCGTTTATTCAACGTCCAAAATAATCACTGATCGACTATGGTCGTCTCGGCGATCAATCTCTCTCTCTCTCTCTCCCTCTCTCTCTCTCTCTCTCCCCCTCTCTCCCTCCTCACGCGGTGCGTATCCCAACGAAATATATAATTACGCGCGCTAAGGACACGCGCGATGTTTCGAAATCACCGCGTAGCCGGACTTCTGTCCGCTTACCATAAAAAGACACTTCAAACATCCTTCGGCCCGGGGCGAAGTCGGGAGCGCGCGCGCGCGTTCTCCGCCGAGCGAAAGTCTCAAAGAGCGTAACCTAATCTACGGCGTTTACGCGCAATTAGCGCGGGGACGTAATATTAGCAGCGCCGCGCGACGCACGTGCGTGCGCGCGCGCGCGCGCGCACACACGCACGCAACGATACGAGACGATCCGTGAAATGCAACCGCAGACGGATAACGATCCGCGAGTATTTACGTCGCCGCTTGATTAAAACGATTCCGCAGACGGTCGTCCACCTCCGGCCGACGTCTATTTTCACACAAACATCGCTCTCGCTCGTTGCAACGGCAACATTTCGAATTTCATTCGTACGCCTCGCGTGCGTGTACGCATTCGCGGACGAACACATTTTGCCTTGGCCGGGGGGGGGGCGTAACGCGCGCGCAGCCTAATTGCATTTTCACCTACGCCTTCGACCGACCAACGATCGCGCGTTCGTTTCAAACGCGTTTTCCTACCTCCCCCTCTCCCAGCCTGGGCGTACGAGATATGACGAAACGCACGGCCGATGCGCGCTTCAATGAGAAATACGAAGGAAACGCGTAAATTGCGTCAGCTATTGGGACCGTCTCGACTGACTTGCTCGATTCTTATCGAGCGGTCCTCACACGACGTCTTGAATCGTACAATTCATGGAGTCGAGAGAAGCCCAACAACGTCCGAACTGAACACTGCTGCTTAACCAAACTCTACTTCTAATTATATTCATCGAACAATGGCGTCGGGGAATTTGTCTTATTAGACGTCTGGAGCGTCGGGATTGAGCGAGTGAGAAAGAGAAAGAAAGTAATTCATTTACCGTCGGAGCAAAAGATTCCTCTCTCAGCCACTGTGAGAGAGGAGACTCGTCGTCGTCGTCGTCTCAAACGAGTGGGTGAAATCTTCCGTTAAAACACTCGCGTGACTCCCGCCTGTGTAGTTTGCAATTACGAGCGCGCCAGAGTAATTAATAATTTCCTCACGACGCCTGTTGACAAATCGGATGAATCGGTCGTTAACATCTATAGTGTTCCCGGGCACGGTGTAAAATTGTGAGGAGGTAGCGGAGAGGGGAGGGGAAGGGGGACGTGTTCGGCGAGTAAGTGGCGAAAAGGTCGAGTAGTAAATAATAATAAACGGCGGGCGCGAGAAGCCCGCGCGCGGCAATAACAATTCCGCTCGCTATTGTATCGATCAGCAGCGAGTCGACCGCGGACGGCAAAGACGGGGACGATCAAATATTAACATCAACTTCGCTCTTGCGTAACGCAATAAAATCGCACTCGACACTTTTGCGGCTGTGCGTGTGTGCGATGTCGTCGCCAACGACCACACGGCCGAAATCACCTCTCTCTGTCTCTCTCTCCCTCGACCGCGCGATAATAATCCCGGAGCGCGACGAGCTGAGCCGCCAACTTTTTCCCACACACACACACACACACACAGAGAGAGTTGTGCATTACGTGAAAGAGAGCGGGATCACGCGCGATTCTCGATATCGCGTACGAGCGAATCGGCCGGCTTTTAGCGCACTTTGCGCGCAACGCGCGTGAAGACTCTTCTTCTTCTTTTCCCTTTCCCTCTCGACCTTATCCGCGATTCAGCAATGCGCGCGGCACGCGCGTCCACCGTCTCCCTTTCAGGTTGTCGATTCGCGCTACGGCCGACCTATCTACCGCTCGAACGAACGAACGAAGAAAGAGTCGCGCACCGATAAGATGCATTTTACGACGACTCACAAGTCGAGCGAGCGAGCGGCGTGACTCGGCGGCCCGAGGGGATCATCGTCTCCTCGCCTCCTAAACAAAGAACTCGCGTTTCTGCCGCTGACACGCCGCCGCCGCCGCCGCAGCAGCGACCCTGACTCCGTTCTTTAGCACCGACGCATAACGCGAGAATCTCGCTCGATCTAGGAAGACAAACGTGCGTCTCGCAACCGAGGCGTGTACGATTCCCCCCCGCGCGTACGATTTATTTCGAGCGGCAGCCTCGCGATTGTTGTCCAACTGTTAGGCACTTTCGAGTTCTCTCTCTCTCTCTCTCTCTCTCATCTTTGAAGACGATAAACATCCTCAAGGTACGAACGTGCATAGTCCAAGTCTGATTTCTATCTCCATGTTTGACGAGATCAATATGTCGTAAAAAAATCCAGGCCAAGCCGCGCCGCGCTTGTTTCTAATTTAGCAGTTATCGATTTCATTTACAAGTACGAGGAGAAGACGCCTCTCTCTCTCTCTCTCCCCTACGGGGATAAAAGCGATAAGAGCACAAGGCAAAAGGATAAAGGCAGAAAGAGGGGAAACCAAGGCGCGAGATGTCTCGCGCGCGCGCGCGCTCACGTCTCTTCCGCTCCGCTCGCACGGGAGACACTCGGATGAAGCGTGATAATTATTATCACGCTGCGCTAATAAGAACGATTCAAGTGCACACACTGCCCCGTCAGCGCCGTGCCGAGTCGCGAACCTGTTAAGCTGATTAATGTTAATACGAGACAGAGAGAGAGAGAGAGAGAAAGAAAAAGAGACGCGGCGGGGAGTACGAACGAGCGCGGAACGAAAGAACGTGCGTGTACGAACCGGACCGAATACTTTTGCTCTCTTTCTCTCTCTCTCTCTCTCTCTCTCTCTCTCTCTCTCTCTCTCTCTGTCCATCTGTCAGTTACAGCCAATCGGTCCGTCTCCTTTTCTCGCATCGAGCAACCCAGCCGACCTGCGGGATAACACGCGAAGAAAGCGGCCGGGTCCTGAAATACACGTCCGCGCGCGCTCCCGCCACGTATTTACAGCGATAATGCGCCTCCGGGGGGCCCCTTATCGGCGCATGTTAAAGAGCACGAGCCAGCGTAACTGGCCGAAGCGCGCGACGTATCGATTCGCGCGCGACGTGCCGCGCGCGCGATTATTCCCGGGGGATGATCCGATTCGGGAGCAAATCTGCCGAATCGAGTCGCGTGTATCTCGTCGCCGCTACGTCACTCGTCACAGCGACACTCGTCGCCGCCCGGAATCGGCTGGATCGAGGAACGCGATGCGGGGCGGGGGGGGGGGAAGGGGCCAGAAGGGCAATCGCGATGATCCCGGGTGTGCGAGGTGCGTGTTGACCTTAGAGTCGCGCAATTTGAAGATCGGCGAGTGTGTCGATAGATCCTAACCTCAACTCTGACAGGTGACGCGCTCGAGGAACATCGTACGGCTGTCGAGAGCGCGTCTCGTAGAACGGAAAGCGAAATTGACTCGAGATTCACCGCATCGCTCATCTGTGTGATCTCCTCTCATCGTGCTGTTCCTTCTTTCTAAACGTCAGCGACGATCTTCGCGCGCGACTTTGCGCGGGGAACACAATGACGTTACACCGAGTACGTCCGCGAGAGGTGCTGTTCCGTCTCAGGTTAACTCACTCTGCGCGACGTGCTCTCCCGGGTTATCCTTGACACGGCATAGAATGAATCGTTATGTAGACTCCGCTCGTCAATGACGGAGGAGGTATGCGAAAATATCGAAGTGAGAATGGTGGGTAGGGTCCATTAAGATAGACGCGAAGAATTCCAACGGGATTAATATGCTATTAAAGAACGTCCCGATGCGCGTACGAGACGTCAAAGCGCGGCCGCACCCTAAAATCGTACAAATTTTACAGACGCGTGTGAGACGGCCGTGGAAACTCGCTTTAAGCCAACCAACATCGGTATACGATAGTAGGGATCGTCATTCGCGATTGTGATGTTCCGTGCGTGTCGAGACACGTTCGCCTGGAGGATACACGAGAGAGACAGAGAGAGAGAGAGAGAGAGAGAGAGAGAGAGAGAGAGAGAGAGAGAGAAAGAGAGAGAGGACTCTATTCGATAAGTTCCTCGGCTCTTACGAATTTAACACTGGCGGAGTGTTTATCATTCTGCGAGTGTTTATTTTTTCCCATCAGTCACAGTCCTCTAAGACATTTGTTTGTCATTATTAACTTTGAGCGTACCGTTATATGTAACATCGCCAGAAGCCATAGTGACCTATTTTTCAAAACGTGCCAGTCGAACAAATAAGAGACGCGTATTCAGCGAGAGAGAGAGAGAAAGAGAGAGAGAGAGAGAGAGAGAGAGAGAGAGAGAGAGAGAGACACGCGAGAGTCACCCCTCGAAGATTCTTAATTATTTGTCTACTTCCTCGTATGTTCACACGTATCGATTCTACCACTGGAATCAGACCGAACCGGAGTGAGAGACAAAGAATTGTTCGAACGTCAGCCAGATTAACGACTGATATACATGAAACAAAAAAAGAAAAGAATGATATAGCTGACAGAAGATTGAGAAATCATGCTTATCGTCAGTGTCACAATGACGGAGAGAGCACGGATCGACTTCCTCGTCGCGGGCATAACAAACACTTCCGTCGCTACTCTGACCCTGGACTAGTCGAGTTCTGTCATAAAGGGGTGAGGGGAAGAGAAACATGAGCGCTCCCGATCCGGGAGAATTCGCGCATTAGGAATATATATGTTTTTTACCTGCGGACTTTGCGGTGACGGGATCGCCGGTCCGAACAAAGGCGAGAAGGCGGCCGGCGCGTCGACTCGTCGTCGTCGTCGTCGTCGTCGTCGTTGTCGCCGTCGTCGTCGTCGTCGTCACCACCGTCGTAGCCGTCGTCGCCGTAGCCGCTAGAGAAGAAAGAGGAAGCGGAGGTGAAGGAGAGAAAGGAAGAGACTACCCAGGAGAAAGAGGAGACAGAGAAGAAGGAGGAGGAGAAGGAGGTGGAGTTGACGGCGGACGCGGTGGAGCAGGAGGAGGTGTAGCAGCAGACGATAGGAGCCGATACAACACTCGTCGTTCCGGGCACCGTGACGGCGCTGCTGTCGTCGCGTAGCACTCTCCTCGCTTGGAAACCACTATCGTAGCACCACCGCACCTTCCTCCATGTTGCCTGCACGCGAATTCGACGAAGGGCGCCACTGAGCATTGACGCGCACACACCAGGAAGAGAGCCACGATTGCCCCGTCGCGGAGAAGAAGCACGCGAGCGAGCGACGAGCGAATGAGCGGCCGAGCGCGCACGGACACGTCGTAGCGCGGCCGCGAGAGGGGCGGGTGTCGCGGGGCACAGCGGACGGAGGATCGAGCGAAGGGGAAAAGAGGATACGGGGAAGGGGGAGGAGAGAGAGAAAGAGGTAGACAGGAGCGGTAATTCGTGGCAGGGACAAAACGTAAAGGAAGCACGGCACTCGCGAACGCGCGTTAACACGACACGCGTGATTCCTCCCCGCGATACGCACGAAACTGGCGAGGCGCGTTCGTCAGCGCGGAATCACGACGGACACGACGCTACGCGAGCAGCCCGCGCTCTCACAAGACTACCGTGAGTCGAAGAGAGGAGTCCGTGACGTGCCGACGCTCGCGGCTAGACGCCATTTACAGAAACCCACGGCACCGGCGCGAGCTCCCCCTCTTGGTCCCCACTACTCACTGACGAACGCGTTTGCGTCCTCCACCACCGCGTCCGGTGGAACCTTGTCGTATCGTACATAACACACGCTATCTATCTCGCTCTCTCTCTCTCTCTCTCTCTCTCCCTCTCTCTCTCTTTCTCCTCCCCCTCTCACTCTAAACTTCTATCCCTCTTACTCGCGCCTCGTACAGTCTCTCGGCTGTCGCGGCGTCTCCGTCGTTCGCGCTCTTTCTGCCGTTCCTCGTTCGTTGTCCTCGTCGTGTGCCGCGTTCGCGCTGGGTTTTCCGTCTCTCTCGCCTGCGCGTTTCTTTTACATGACGAAACGAAGTCCCAGTGTCTCTCTCTTTCTCTCGTTCCCGCGCGTGCGCGGGTTCTTTTCACCGCTCGCGTTGCCTATCGTTCACTCACGTCTCTCTTTCTCTCTCTTTTTCTCGCGCGCATTTGCACGATATGCGTTTCTGCTGTACCTTGAAGCGCACAACCGCGCGTTTTCCTTCTCTGTCTCTGTCTCTCTCTTTCTCTCTCTCTCTCTCTCTCTCTCTCTCTCTCGTTACTCGCTATTTCTCTCTCCCCGTCACTACTCTTCCACTTTACCGCGCCGCGCAGCGTTCTTTCCTCCTTGCACCGACGGTTCCGTCCGACCTATCCCAATTACAACGAACGTCCTTGAGGTGACTAACACCTCGTCGCTCGCAGCCCGCGGAACAGTGGCGTATGTAGGTTACGCCGCTCGTAACCGTGGGTACTGCTTCGTTGTGTATGAATATGTTTTCGTTACAAATGTACGTAAACTTACAAGGAGGGGAGAGAGCGAGAGGGAGAAAGAGGGGAAAGAGTAAAGGAGAGAGACAGGTGGACGTGATAGTTTCCACCGCCCTATACATAGCTTATAACGTACTCCTCGTCCTTTCTACGTGGAATCTACGTTGAAAACATTTGGTGTTTTCAACTATCATATTGAAAATGTTTCCGCGCTACAGTTGCCATTCGCGAACATCTCGGTTGCTCCCGTCGGCAAACAACGGGATCCGACAAAGAACGAGCGATCAGCTTTCTATTCGCGAGCAATATCAATCTCGTATGAAAAAAAAGAAGTGGGAATAACGTTACTTTCTTTTTACCTGACGATTGACGCGACTTCGTAATCATGCTCTCTCTCCCCCCCCTGCCGCTCCTTCGATACTCGAACGCCGTGCTATACCGAATTCTCTCTCGGGAACTTGCGTCAACAGTCACGTTCCTGGACGCATGCACGCATTATGGGGGAGAGGAAGCAGAGTGAACAGGCAGAGGTGGAGAACGGGGGAGGGGGTGAGCGGCTGCGGGGGGATGGGCAGGGAAACACGCGGCTCTCGTTGCCGAGGAGAACACGCGACGGCGAAGGAGTGAAGTCGCGTCGAACGGAGCGCGCTCGCTGGAGGGAGGACGAGAGAGGACGAGGGAGGTCGAAGGAACAGTATGGCTTTCTTGAATTCGTCGGAGTGAACGTGCAGGAGCAGAGTTGGTCGGAGGAAAAAGGGGCAAGGTAGCAGCTCGTTCCCCCGAGCGCGCTCGTAGTATATGTGTGTGTGTGTGTGTGTGTGTATGATGTGTATATGTGTATATGTGTACGCGCTCTCACTTGCTCGCTCGCTCGCTCACTCACGCGCTTGCGCGTGTGCGTGAGAACGAACCGCCGCGCCGCGAGACACAGAGAGAGAAGGAGGAGAAGGAGAAGGAAAGAAAGAAAGAGACAGAGACAGAAGGGTTATTCACTGTTCCGCGGAAACGAACTCACACGCGCTTTCAAACGAGATCCGCCTTGCGGGTGTAGTGCGAACAGAACAATCGTAACTTTTACGCGTTCCGTGACGTAAGAGGAACGGGCGATCGCGCGCCATTCGAATGAGAAGGGAGGCAAAAACGATGACGCGGACACCCTCCGCGCGCGCGCGCGTCCGCCTTTACGTTCATGTTTACGTTCGCGAGCGTGCTTGTTGGCGCACTAATCGCGCCGCGTAGTTTGGCCAGTTCCGGCTGTTTCTTTGCCAGAATGAGAGGGAGAAGAAAGAGAGAGAGAGAGAGAGAGAGAAAGAGACAAGCAGATAGTTGGCGGCGAAGAGAGAACGAAAGGAATGCGGGAAGCTACGGACGCAGTGAAAATCCGCGAACACACGAATCCGTGGATTTATAAATGGACCGGCTCGTAGGCGAGCGCGAATCTATGCGCGCACAAGCAGAGATCACGATTACGTGACTTTGGAAATTTCACTCTCGCGCAAACTATGGCCATAGTTCGCGCGAGAGAGTCAGCCGCCATAATGGCCATATGCAAAGCGCGGAGATATAACCTCTCTTATTATTAATGTGTCCGAATGATATAAAAAGTATATACCCCGTATCGATCCCGTAAGATGGAGACGACCGCTGACTCGGAGATGAGCGGAGAGAGAGAGAGAGAGAGAGAGAGAGAGAGAGAGAGAGAGAGAGAGAGAGAGAGAAAGAGAGAGAGAGAGAGAGAGAGCGGGAAATATGCTTGGCGATCTTTCAAAGTCCGCTTTCGCTCACCGCGACGGTGATTTATGCGGGCAGCTTCTCTCTCGATCAGACGTATAATAATCCTTTCCGTGTACGCTCCGCCGGGCTACCCGTGCTCGCCCTATAATCGCTGCCCACTCGCGAACCAATTAAATTCGCGCGGCCGCCGATTGGATTACGCGAGTACGCGCGCGACTGCGCACACTTCCTGCGCACGTCCGCGAGGCTCGCGCGGGACGAGAATGCGACGCGGCGTACGTGAGGAGGAACATTTGTTTAAACGGTCCCCGGCTGGACGAATCGCGCACGATGCGTTACACCGGTGCGCGTCGGCGTAACGTCAACGTCTCAGCGGAGTAGGTAATTGACGAGTAAACAAATATACGAATGCGCCGTGCGGGCGGCGCGTTGCGCGCCAACGACGACGCGTCGGCGACGCGTGTGACTCAGCCAGCTGTACGCACGCATCGTACGAGCGCTCTCGTGTGTGCGTACGCGCGAGAGCGCGTATGTTAGCACATGCCTTATGTACGCGAAAAACGCTCTACTCGCGGAAAAAGCGTGACGCATCGCGCTTCGATCGAAACGCGCGGCCTTCTGCGAACGCGCGCTAATTCGCTCGCTCGCTCGCTCGTTCGCTCGTGGGAACGGACAAAGGGAGATAAGATTGGCCGCTTTTGTGTCTCGCGAGACTAATTGCGCGCGCCAGCGATATTTAAAATTAACGAGATACGCGCGAGATCCTCGAGCCGCGCGATTTCGAAGCGCAGCGCGCCGCTGCCGCAATCGCGGAGAATAATCGAGAGAATCGCGATGCATCTCGCACGCACCTACGCACACATGTGCACACACACACACACACACACACACGCATGTGGGAGGTGTTCCTTGAAAGCAGCAGGACGTGCGTTTTCGCACGTCCTCGTAGCCGAGCGAGACGCGCGATAGCGTTGCGTTTTTATCGGTACGTCGTACCATCCAGTTTTCTGATACATTACTGGAGATAGTTCAGTCGTGAGATATTTAAGCTCTGCAACGCACGGCCGCGATACAAGTTACACCTGAAGATAGTCGCTTTTCTTCGTAGAGAGACCCTCGTTGAAAGTACTGTCCGCTCTCGCGTACTGCGAAGTTAGCGTTCGACTCTCGTTAATTTTGCGTTTGTGCTCTATTTCGATGGAATATATACGGAAAAGAATAGCGCGAAATCTCTTGAAATTCACCTCCGAGAACTAAATGACTCGAGAACCGGTGGTTTCGCACGACGCAACTTCTCGTCTCGATTTAATTTATGCGAACTCGCCACCGAACGCGGTTTTTTAAGAAGGAATTAAGAAAACATAGATGCTCGATAGCGATGCTCGACAGCACGACGCCGCTTGTTTTTCCGGCGCAAAAGAGGAGCGCACGTTTCGCCCGTGGCGAAATATTATACGAAACATACACATACACATCTCTCTCATGTTTCCACTTGTGTTTTTATTTTGTTAATTTCTCGTATAATATACTAACAAAACATTTAATTACAAAACATGGGCATATCTGTGTGTGTATGTATGTGTGAATGTACGTATACGTGTGTGTTTTGCGTGAGTGTGTGTACGTGTGTGTGTGTGTGTGTGTGTGTGTCTCTGTGATGAAAGCGGCTATGTGTTCTCTATGCGGTACGCGTACCTCTTCTGGTTAATGTAGATAATACGATTAAACTTCATAAGTTCTCTACGATAAGTAGATGGATCGATAACGACAATTTACACGCAAAAAACGTGTGGCAAATGCCCCCGTCCCTCTGTCTGTCACTCGTTGTCCCATCCCTGCCGCCCCACCCTCCGTATTCGTTTCCGCAACTTAGTTCTTTTCGTTCGTTTAATTAATCGCGTTAATCCCGCGAGATTCTGTTGTTTATGTTGTGGTGCTTATTTACGAAAATTCTTTCTTTCTCTCTGCGTTCCTCACTCTCTCCCTCTCTCGCTCTCTCTCTCTCTCTCTCTCTCTCTCTCTCTTTCTTTCTCACTCTTTACAACCTATGTCTGCCATAAATACGCAAACGCAAGAAGGGATAAAAACGCTCTACTGTAGTATGCGATATAATAATATATTACCGTACCTCGATATTAGTTATAAATAGTTTTTAATAATTATTTGTCGAAACACTGAATATTTTACAACAGCCATCGAATCTCAACTATGTAACTCTATTTAAACAGTTTGCAACTTTTACAGTTCATCCTTTTTTTTTCAATTTCACCTTTAATATTATTATGCGTAGCGTGTCTGATCCAATATCATATCAATAATAGGGATATATCATAAATTTTGTAATTTCCTAAAAAATATTCTCTAAAAAATATGTCGACCTAAAGATTATTATGACTGATAATCACAGACAATTTTTTCAATTTTTCTTTTTCCCTTTCATTCCGTCGTCGAGTTTGTCAATAATTATTATTTATCTTTTCTTTTCTTTTAAACAATAGTACAATATTTCAAAATTCTACACTCTGTTTAAACATTAGAATAGTAGTTTTTATACACATCTTAAGAAGCGTTTTACATTTCAATTTTCCTCTTCTGTTAACTCCTTATGTTGTAAGAATAGTTTTTAATGCTTTTAGTTTTTTTTTTCCTTCTCACAAAGGGAACCCAAAACACACGAAGAGACGAAATCGCCGGTTGTGAGAGGTTCGTAGTAATTAAACGTTCGCGATGCAGCCGAGACCGCAGCGCTGCGCGATAACTCATGCTGCTCGCTCATCGTTGTTTCCGCGAAATAACTTAATCACTTGATTTTTTACGCGACACCGTAACGCAACATCTGCTCAATCGTCGGTCCGGAGCGAGTCCAGCTGTCGAGAGGTAAAACATGCGTAAAAGTCGGAGAAAAATGATCTACCTATTATATCTATATATTAGTATTCTTTTTTTTTTCATTATTGTTAGATTATACGTTTATTCTCTCTTCTTCATACTGTTCTTCGGATGTCCATCTTTCTCATACGCAACGATATTTTTGGAAGGTGCTGATGAGTGTAGTAAACAAACGGTGCTCAATGTGCCCAAATATACGAGTGACTTGAGTGGTGATGTATTATAATCTTTCTCTCTCCCTCTCCCTCCCTTTCTCTCTCTCTCTCTCTCTCTCTTCCCCTCTCCTATTTCCTTCATTTCTTTATGTGTGTAGATTATAATTAATAGCGATAATTAAGAATGATAATAATGAGGACTGGATGCGTAATACTAAGGAGGCTCGTAAGCACTCCGCGCAGTTTAAGGAGTAGTTTAAAAAGATACAGAGTATGTTCCAGAAAGCGACCGATAGATACTCGTGGAATTCGTCAGGCGAGGGATTATCAGGAGATACATAGACCTTTTCCTTTTTTTATGTACTTGGCGTCGCGATATTACCGCGTCCCTTTTTTTCTATCCCTCCCCCCTCTTTCTCTCTCTCTCTCTCTCTCTCTTTCTTTGTTCCTGTTCTCTGTCTTGATCTCTTTTCCTCTCGCTTCTCGTGTCCCGCTACAAACACACGCTCAAAACTATATTCCGTACTTTTTTTTTTCTTCTGCCGGAGTACTCTCGTGGAGGTGTGTACTTTACAAAAGTATCGGTAATATAAATAATGAGAAGAGACAACTGACTGCTGAAAAGTTTGAATCTACTCACGGGCGTACATAAAATCACGCGTGTACACGAGTATAAATGAAAAAAACGGACAATGATAGATATAAACCTACTGCCTACGATCACAATACGTAGCGATGCAAAAGTCGGGTTACGAAGTGGGTCTGTGTGTGTATGTGTGTGTTTGCGGAGTATACACTTCGTAGAGCTTGAAATAGTTTCAATATTCGTAGCGTAATGATCTGTAGAAGCTGCAATCGAATCGAGGGTACCCTCGGGTTTCTCGTGTACTCGTTGGATAAAAACAGAAGAAACCTAATCTCTATGTCTGTGTGTCGACAGTGTGATCACCGTGTGTGTGCACCGGTTCTAAGTCGTTCTTCAGTTTACGTTAGTACTTTTCCATCAACCCTAATACCGTCGTCCGTAATCAATAAATATCAATAAAATATCTAACATCGTTATTATATTTTCAAGTAAATTACCACCCTTACTAGTCATATTACTTTTCATGTACAGATTAAAATTAATTATCATTATATTAACAATATTTATCCTCCAATAATAGTTATTAATTATCGGTAATTATAATATTAAGAAAAAAAAAAAAAAATCAAAATACCTAAAAAAATGGCAATTTCACGTGACCAGAACAAGTTTCCATTTTCTCTCGTTTTTCGTAACTTTTTACAACTCAGCATACGACGCACTTTGTACCAAACCAGGCCGATTAAAATCGCAGCACGACTGGCGTTCATTCGCGTGCTCAAATAATGCTTTTTTCACATGCCACATCGCTTCTCTCTCTCTCTCTCTCTCTCTCTCTCTCTCTCTCTCTCTCTCATTCCTTTATATTACCTCTTTAAATAATTTGCGTTCAATATTCTTCGTATAACGCATTTCTTATTATTATCAAACACTTCCGCGCACTGCAACCTACTATCTCTTACTCTAGGCCATTTTTTCATGAAAAGTGCACTTAACGGTGTCCATGGAGCACCAAAATTTAAGGGACTACCACCTCGGCAGAGATTGATTGATCGCGCTAAGATACGTAGTGGTCTCGAAGGGGCGCGTGCTTGCGCCGTTTGCGGTTGTTTGTGTGTATGTGTGTGTGTTAGTTCCGAATATAAAATATCATTTGCGATACGTACATCTAAATCTATCACCGGGTAGAAGCGTAGGTACATTAAAAGTAAGGCAAAACTGGACTTCACAGAAGGATATTGGTACGGAATATGTGATATATATGTATATGTATATTCGTAAAAATGTAAAATATATTCCTATAAAAAGCATCTCTAATATTTCCCACTATGGGAAAGTATCACAAACATTTGCCGAGGACGTCCCCGGAAACGTTTATCTCAAACAATGCGTAAACCTCGTCAGACAGGATGAACAAACTGACTTTGCGATAGAAGCTCATCCGAAATTATCGTTGAAACGTTTAGCGGCTCTGTTGAATACTAGACAAACAAAATATCGGATCTGCCTTGCAGATTTCGTCATTTAAACTTGTCCCGACGTTTAAAAACTCAGACGTTGATAAAGTCAATGATGATGATATTGGCAAGGTGGAAGCACAAATATATATATATATATACATATATATATATATATATATATATATATATACACACATATATATATATATATATATATATGTTTATATATACATATATATATATATACACAAAAAATATATATATATGTATATATATATATATATGTGTGTGTATATATATGCATATATGTATAAGTGCGATATCTAAAAAAAATATACAAAAAAAAGAAAATATCAAACTGGCGCTGTTCACCTTTGCACGGTTATACGGTTTGAAATTTTTTTTTTTTTTCTTTCGGACGAGGAGAGTCCGGATAATCCTCTCACATCGCGGTTGCTCGACAATTAATGAGACAAAAACCGTATCAATGTCTGCCAAAGTAGGTACACCTTCGAACAATGTCCTGCTATAGGAGACTGTTCTCCCTTGCCATTCTCTATCTCTCTCTCCTTAATGCCTACATTCCTAACTTAAGTTAAAACGAGTTTGCTGTACTTACATCAAAGACGATATATCTAGTCTAACAATTACATATTTTACAAAAACATTTGAAATCTGGCCCTACACAGCAGACGTGAAATGTCACGAAGTTAGTCATACACTGTACACTAAATTTAAAAATTTACACGAATCTCGTTTAAATATACAATTATATCGCGCATTAGATTCTCGTTCGCTCGACATTTGTACAATGCGCTCACACGTCATTTCTTCTTTTTTTTCCCGTGACACTCGAGAGAAACGCAACCGATCTCCCACGATCAGTCATGAACATCGAAAATCCGCTGTTTTCCTCGACGCGCCCTTCGCATGAGAGACAGCTTCCATTTATTTTTTCCTTCATTCTTTCTTTCTTTCTTTCTTTCTTTTTTAATCTGTTCCAACACGTTCGCCACGTATAGGGGGAAGAGTTTCTCAAATTCGATCGAACCCTCGACAAACCTCTGTCGACGTCATGTAACATGGATGATCAAAATCATACGAACCGATGAGCCGTCGTATTTAGTGTAAAGTGTAAGATAACTTGTACACTCTCTTAAGCCTCAATAGTAGATAATAGGTAGAGTCTAAAAGTCGTGCGAGAAAGCACAGGCGTGAATAAAGTAACACTTTCAAAAGTCTCAAAGCGCGTTAGTACACGCACGACTCGCCGGGTACGAAAGCGGGACATGCTCGAATCGTTTATTGCTATAAGGTATACGTGCCATACACGTGCAGGTATACCTTCCCCCTCTCCGCCCTTTTCCCATTTCGCCACTCTTGCTCTTCCTCCTGCTTTACCTATTAAATCAACTACACGAACGTAGCTGTCTAAAGTAACATCGTCGCGACCGCGCCGTGCTTCGCGTACTATACACTCTGGCCTTCTAATATTTAAAATGTATAATCTATGCTCTTTTATAGTAATAAAAAGCTGCAATCTCTGAAAATAGTTTGATGATGAGTAAATGAATAACGTTCAATAAAACGAATCCTATTCGAAAGCGCGCGCGCAATTATAGCACATATTTTATCTCTGTGTCGTCGATCGGCTGCTTAGGATAAGCTGTATATACGCAGTCTCAATTGAGGTATTTGCGACATCTGCGGGAACCGCAAGTACACGGGATCTTGATGTCCTCGAACGGGAATTTGTAGTCGTACGTTAATTCCTCCCCTTGAGTGATACGGCGGAGAGCGAAAATCAATATGTGTTTCTTACCAAGAATGTCCACCACTCGCGAGTAACAGTTTGGCTGTAACACAAACGCGTCAAACGTTATCACCGAGCGAGCGAGCGTCCTTATCGCTTTCTATCCATTTAATAAATTTCAAGTAAGAGGAAAGACATGTGAGATATGTAGAAAGAGGAAAGAGAGCATACCTCGCACGAGTGATTGATAAATCTAGCTGCATTCCCTTTCATAGTGGCGTCGACAACAAGATGATCGTCGATCTTAAACATGTAACAGCCAATGTTCTTGCTGTCGTAGTACTTTTCTCTCTTGTCGGTCAGAGACGATCGAATAACCTGGAGACGAGATGATTTCGATAGTAGTAGCAATAGTAATACAGAGATACCGCGTTAACAAGCAATACATCATCACGACATGGCAATTCTTCTCTATCGCTATCTCTCAAACGATCATTCGCGTCACTCACCTCGCCAGCATATTCAATGACCATTTCACCAGCCTCGATATCACGCAGGCAAAACAGACCTCGACCGTGTATGTGAGAGTGGTACACACCGACAGATTCTTTCGATGTTTCCTTAAGTATTCTGAAGCGCATCGCCATGGGCAAATTGGTGCTGGCAACTCGCCTGGAAGAGACGCATCTGACGTGATATTCACCAACAAGTACTCGCGGTGATTTTGGGACAGCCTGGCAAACTCGATACGCAGGTTTTACCTGGACTCCGCTTCGGATATGGCTATCATCTTGGGCTGTTGCCTGTGCCGCGACGCCAGCCAACTAAACATGTCGTGCACCTTCCTGTTTTTGAACGGTTCCGCCCGCACCGCTCCGTTGTCGCAAGCCGCCGGCAGCTCGTTCTCCATCTCGCCGGGTCTCGGCGGCGTCGGCGTGTGAAACTTGGGTTTGTACTTGGTGCATCGGTTCACGCTCGGCAGTTGCTCGACCAGATAAACGGTCGCGTTGTTCTCCAGGCCGAGGCCCTCCAGCAGCGGATTGTGAGGCAGCGGTGGCAGATTGTGCGCTTTGCGGGCGTTCTGCACCGCCTGGAACACCGTCTCCCAGACCTCGGCCATGGACGAGGCGGTGTGAGTGAAGCCGTCCTGAGATTTTATCTCATACATCAGCGTCGGCCCCCTCGAGCAGTTCTTCTGCATCTGCTGCTGCGGATTACTTCGCACCGGTCTGATGGACTTGGCCAAGATCCTGGGCTTCTTCACGGCAACCGGCGGCGCCTTCGCCTTCAGCATGTTCATGGACGCCTTGGCGTCCATCGCCGGCTTCACCTTGTCCTCGATTTTGTTCGCCTTGAGCGTGAACGTTTTGATCGGCAACAGTTGCAACGACGCGATCTGCGGCACCTGCTTCGACGGCAGTATCTCCACGGAGGTCACCTGCGGCGTCTTCTTATTCTGCGTCACGGCCTTCATGTTGCGCGTGATCTTGTACGAGCCGTCCTGCAGCTGCTTCTGCAGCACTATCTTCAACGATGTGTTCTGCAGTTTCTCCTTGTCGAGCTCCAGCTTGAGATTCTCTTTCACCTTCTCTATGGTCTCCGTGTTTAGCTTGATGCCGTCGCTGATGTTATTGTTGTTATTGTTGCTGCTGTTGTTATTGTTGTTATTGTTGAGCACAGGTTCAGGTTTCATCACCTCTTCGGCAATCTCTTCAATCTCCTTCTCCTTCTTCTTCGGCTCCGCAATCTCCGGCTCGGCCGGCTTGATCACCGGCTTCGTGGGTTCCTCGATCATCGCGATGTCGTCCTTCTGCACAGCCTTCGCCGGATCCTGCTTGGGCGTGACCGCCTGCATCGGCAGTACCCTGTTCATCGGCCGACTGGTGGGCATGCTGTTGCTCGTCGGCATCGATATCTTGTTCTGCGCGTTGGAATTGCTCACGATCACCGGATGACTGCTGACGTTGATGTTGTTCGTGCTGTTGCAGTTGGAAGTGGCCGCTGCGCCACCGCCGCCGACGCCGCGCCGCCGCCGCCGCCGCCGCTGCTGCAGCTCTTGGATACGCTATGGTTCATGTCATGATGTGGCTTACTGTTGATGACCAGGCTCCTCTGGGCGATACAATGATTCGGCAAGGGCGGTATCTTGGACGACAAGATGCTGGACTTGATCATGCTGGTATTCTCCGACACGTGCTTTGAGTCGAAGTACGGCCGCACGCTGTTGCTCATCGGTTGCTCCGCGCCAAACAACGGTTCGGTGATCTTCCAAGGCCCATGATTCATCTGCTGCGTGATCGAGTGCGCGACCGGACTGGGTCGCACGGCCACACGAGGGATCGTCGGCGGCATCACATGCGGCGGCAGCTTCGGCGACGTCGACGCCCTCGCGACCGCCGCCGTGATCGCCGCGCCGTTGTGCATATCGGAGGAGCACACGTCTGCCACTTGGATCGACATCACCGACTTCGCCACGACATTCTGACAAGGAGCCGCCGCTGGCGACACGACGTTGCACGCGATGGAGCCAAAGGTCGCTTGTTGTTCACCACCGGTTGCGGAGATGTTGATCTGCGGAGCTGTCGCAATCGGTTCCATCGGCACCAACGACGCTGCCGGCGGCACTGGTGGGGGTGCTGGTGGTGCTGGTAGCGGTACTGCTGCCACTGGCGCCGGTGGCGGATGTATCGGCGGTATCGACATCGGTACCGATGCCGTGGCTGATGCTGGTATCGACACTGCCGCCGATATCGTCGGTGTCGTCGCCGCTAACGGCGTTGGTACCGGCGTGGCTACCGCCGCTACTGCCGCCGCCGTCGGTGCTGGCGGAGGTGGTGGTGGCGGCGGCGGGGCCGGTTGGTTCACCACCACGTAACCGCTAGGCACCGCAGGTACATTGGGCACGCTGCTCACGCCTTGCATACTCGCCACGTTCGTAGGCACCCCGGCGATATTGGCAGGTACGCCTGGCACGCTCTGTACACTCGGCACGTTCGCCGGCACACCCGGCACGTTCTGTACAGCCTGCACCGCCGTGACAGTTGGCATTCCTGACACAGCCTGCACGTCCACGATCGGCTCCATCAGCTTGGACGCTTGGAACACCTGCGTGGTGGTCTGGTAGCTGCTGGCCAACACCTGCGGCACCGCTCCAGCCATGAACTGGCTGGACGACATGACGGTGTTGCTAACGATCGTCTCCAGGCCGTAGTACATGGGCTGGTTCGACACGAACATGCCGCCGGTCGGGTCGGTGAACATCTCCAGAGTGGGGGCGGAGCTCAGTAGCAACTGCTCCGACGATATGACGCCGCACTGGATCGCCGCGCCCGGTTGCTGCTGAATGATGGTGCCCAGCACTGTCGTCGGCTGCGTCTGCGCAATTTGCACGCTCGGCAGTATCGAGATGCCGCTGCCGTTCTGCAGCGCCAGCAGGTTGTCGGACGGCGTCTGTATGTAAGTGCCGGGCACCAGATGATTGGTGGCGATGAACTGAGGCTTAAAGCCGGACTCGTGCTGGCCGCCAATCGTCGTGATATACTGCACATTCTGACCAGACTGCTGTTGCAGCGTTTCCACGTACGCCGACACGATGCCGGGCGACGCCACCTGCTGGAGGATCACGGTTGGTCGCTGGGTCTGCTGCGCCAACTGGATCACCGGCGCGCCGCTCTGCACCGGCTGATACCTCGCGTGGGCGGCATTGTTGTGCGGCTGCACCACGTTCTTCACCACATGCGGCTTCACGCTCTTGGCACGAGGCTTGGCCGCCCGGGGACTCTTGGTTTTGGAGGGAGCGCGGTTCACCTGCAATAACGACGACGACGATGACGATAACGATGGGGAGGAGGAGGAGGAGGAGGAGGAAGAGGAGGAGGAGGAAGAGGAAGAGGAAGAGGAGGAGGAGGAGGAAGAAGAGGAGGAGGAGGACAAGGACGAAGACGAAGACGAAGACGACAAGGACGTCAACGGAGACGACTCATGCGCGGTCTGCACCCCCATGGACGAGAATGTGGGCGACATCTCCGGCGTAGGGACGGTTTGCGAGCTCGTGCTGTCCGGCGAGCTCATCGGCGTGTTCACCATATTGTTGTGCACCGGCGCGGCGACCGAGTCGCTGGAGACGGATGGCAGATCCGTGATCTCCGTGATCTGCACCGTGCTCTCCTGCGGTAATACTGCTGGGTTCGGCAGGGTGGTGGTCCTGCGCGTGTACTGCGTCTGCACGATCACGTCGTTGGACGCTAATACTGTCTGGTGAACGGTCTCCACGTGCGTGGCGTGAGCATGGATCTGCGGAGTGATGATCGCCTGGGCGATCGGCTCGATCTGGATGCTCGGGTGCGGCGATGCCACGGACGCTTCGATCGGCGAGGTCACTTGGATCTCCGTGTAGTCGGTCGACAGGGCGTGGCCCTGCGATGGCGAGAGCGTGATGAACTGCGGCGGCGAGCCGACCGAGCCGTTGCTCGGCGAGAACCTCGAGTCCGGCGACGACGCCAGCTTGTTGTCCATGGTCTCGGAGTCGCTGTCGCTGGTGATCATGATGTCGCAGTTGGCCAGGTGCCGGTTGTAGCTGTCCTGCGTGCGGTATGTGCAGCAGCATCGCTTGCAGGTGACCGGCCGGTCGATGTGCTGCTCGAACGGCGACGACTCGTAAGACTCGTGCGGCCGCGTCAGCCGATTATTGTCGCGCGTCACCGACAACGAGTGCTGCTGCTGCTGCATCGAGACGCCGACGCCGACGCCGCCGCTGCCGCCGCCGCCGCCACCGCCACCACCGCCGCACTCGTCGTCGCTCGAGATGTCGTCGGCGCCGTCCAGTTGCGGGATCTGCGGCAGGTTCAGCTTCAGGAGGCTCTTCTCCTTCAACGGGCTCGCTACCTTGTGCGGAGCGTATCTCGCGGACGCGTTCATCACGAGACTGCCGTTGCTCTTCGCCTTCGGCGGCTTGTTGCCGATGTTACCGTTGTTGGACATGTGCGACCTGACGAAGCTGAAGTAGCGTTTCTGCTGCAACAAGTTGCAGGAGCGCTGCTGCAGCAGGTAGAGGTCTTTCTCGTTCGCGACCAGCTCGCTCGCGTCGGACGAGTGCTCGTCGTTGATACCGTCCAATTGCGGGATCGACAGCGACTCCTCGGACGCGTGCAGGCCCGCCGCGCTCTTCTCCTCGGCGTTGTACTCCGGCGAGCTGCATTCGCTCGCGCTGTTCGCGTCCGCCGGACCGTCCACCTGCAAGATGCGCGGCTGCTGCTGCCTCGGGTGCCAGAACAGCCTCTTGTGCTCCTTCGTTTCGTCGCGAGCTGGCAACATGCGGCGATTCAGCGCGCCCGGGTCCTCGATGCAGTACTTGAGCTCGCGCATCGAATCCGAGAGTATGTTGGGAGTGCTTCCTCTGCCTACGGTGACCATGATGCTCTCCGGGATCCTCAGCTCGTGGAACATGGACGTGCGCTCGTTCTGCGCGTCCAGAACGATCAGGCCGGCCTCGTTGGACTTGGTACTGGAGGGATTGCGCGGTAGCTTCCGTCTCTTGATGCCGGCGCCGTAGGTGTTGTCCAGCTTGCAGCTCCAGGTAAGGCTGCAGGAGCGCTGGTGGTGACGCTGGTGGCCGCCGACGATCAGCGGATTGTTCGACATTACCTCGGACTTGGAGCGCTTGAGCTCCCTGCCGCCGCGCTTTTGGCTCTTCGAATTGAACAAGTCATCCATGAGATCCTGCATCGCGGTCTTCGCCTCCAGCCGCACCCACAGGTCGTTGTGCGTGCCGAGTTCCAGCAAGGACGAGTCCATCTTCGAGATCTTGCTGTCCGGCGGTTTGATCGTCTCCTCAACCTCCGACGGCAACATGTCGTCCTTGAAGAGGTCCGCGGTGAAGGAGCCGTCGTTCTTCAAGTCCATGGCTAAAAAATCCTCGTACGACATTTTCGGGAAGATGTCCTGCATGGAGATGCCGTCCAACAGGTCGTGCGGCAGATCCTCGAATATGGCCTCCTTCAGCTCCGGCGGCAGGATGTCCGTGTTATTCTGCTCCGCCAGATTCTCGTCGACCTCTTTATTGCACACGATGTCGATCAGCGTATCCAGAGTCTGCTTCACCGCCAGAAACTCGACCTTCTGCGCGTCCGTCGGCGCCGTCTCCTCCTTCGCTTGCTCCTTCGTATGGTCGATGGTGATGTTGTTCTCCATGTCGGACGAGACGTCCGGCATGTGTACCTGCACGTACGTTCTGATGTAATAGCGCACGATCTTGTAAGGGTTCACCGTCGACCAGTAGAGCCTGGAGCACTTGTAGTCGCACGGTATTATCCTCTCGGCCGTGTCGGAGAATTCAGGCACGATCCCGCCCAAGCAGTCGACCATCAGCGAGCCTATCATCACCTTCACCTTGTTCGGCTCCGCATGCTTCTTCTTCTTACGGTCCAGTTCCACGTAGACCGACCGCTTCAGGCTGAACTCGTTCTCGCTCTGCAGCGGCTTGTGCCCGTAATGGTTGGCGTGCACCGCGCAAAACACCGTCTTGTCGTCGTTGAAGTCGAGCCCGATGTTTCTCGCGCACGGAAAGTGAAAGGTATTGCTGCAGTTTTTGGCGCAGCAGCCGACGCTCGCGCCCTTCTTGCCGCATTCGGTGCAGCGGATCAGCCGGCCGCGCGAGATGGCACTATGAACGTTCTGCAGCGACCCGTCGATCTCCTCGAACACCTCGTTGGACCACAACGCGCAATTCGCATGCACCCACTCGTTCTGTCCGCAGTACAGCAGCCTGCCCTCCTTCGTCTCCTGGCCGTCGCCCAAGCCTTTGCACAAGCAACACGATCTGCTGTCCTCGACGTGGATGTTGTAGAGATTCGCCGTTTTCGCGGCGATCGCCTTCGGCGCCTTCATCAGCTCCTCCTTCCACGCCTCCAGGATGGGGTCGTCGAATTTGGTCGTCGAAGCGGTGTCCTTGCTCGAGTTCTTCACGGACGATGGCACGTCGAGCTCGTCGTCGCTGCTCTTGAAGTTCTTCGGAGTGAACCAGGGAAAGACCTCTTGCAGGATGTCGTGGTAGGTCTCCGTTAGACCCTTGGCGCCGGCGCGACTGATCACGTGCTCCATGTCACAGTGGAACTGCGACAGCGACTTGTACTCGTTGCCGTTCACCTTGCGCTTCACGGACATCAACGTGGGCGAAGGCCTCGCGATAATCTGCTGTTCCGAACAGTGGCACTCTGTCGCGTCGCCCAACGCAGTCAACGACTCCTGACTCGTCCAGTCCCTTCTCTCGTTGTTCTCCTGCGAGTCCTTCGGGATACAGTTCTTCACCCGGACCGAGCACTCTCTCAGATGGAACTTCTGCCGCAGCCGTCGCAGGCCTTTCCTCACAGGACCGTCCGTCGACTGTTCCTCCGAGTCGAGTTTACCAATACCGTCTTTGCAGCTACCCGAGCTAGTGTCGGTATCGGCGGACTTGTCGCCGTTCGACTCCTCTGGATCCTCGTTCTCCCCTCTCGTGCAGCTCGTCTCGCTCTTGTCCTCGGGGAACTCGAGTTTCCTCACGCTCGAGACCGGTCTGCAGAGACACTCCTTCCGCGGACTCCACTTGAGAGCCGTGCACACCTTGCGGTTCTTACTCAGGGCCTTGATGACACCGATCAAACCCGCTTTCAGTTCCGCCTCTATAGCGTTCCTCCACACGGAGTTCGAGTTGGAGGAGCACTGACTGCACGTGAACTCGATCGAGTCGGGCAGGTAGCTGAGTATCTGGTAACGCTCGTCGGAGAGGCCTTCGCAACGGGCGTGTACCCAGCAGGAACACTCGCTACACTCCATCATCTGAAAGAACACACGCGGTGGTAACGCGCGGGCACACCATCCGACGCCTGGCGGCGGGGAAGGGGACGACGAAGAGTGCGAGCGAGATCTCTGCAAGTTAGGCAAAGCGCGCGCGCGCGCGCGCGCACACACGCGTACTCACCTTCGTGTCGAAATCGTTTTCGTTGTAACACCTCTGACACAAAGGACAATAGTTTCCTTGTTGCCTTAACTTAAAGCACATGGAGCACAGAGGTAAATTGCCCACGTGGACGTTGACGCCTTCGCTACCGCAGCTCTTACATTTAATGCAGCTCTGACAAACATACGGCCGATCGGGACTGTACAGTCTCGAGCTGACGCCGGACTTCGACAAACACGAATGATGAAACGACTGACGACAACGGATGCAGGACAATTTCGGACCGGATCTGAGATGGCAGGATTGACATATCGTACACCGGGGACAACACCAGTTGGGCTGGGCGCAAGCGTTCCATTCACTGGGTTCCAAACAGAAGGCGTGGTATGGCTCGCAACAGCACTGACAGTGGATCAACTGTAAAGAACGATCGTTATGTTTGACAATTCTCGACTTCGATATCGCGCACGAGAGGTGGTGAGACTTGTTACTGCGAGATACGCACACTCGAGGATTTTCCGATTCTCGGATTCGGATCGAATGTTCTACACTCTACACTCACCGGTTCTTTACCGGCGCTTCCACACAGAAAACAAATGGCAGGTATGTGAAACAGCTCCGAGCCGATAAGAGCGAAACCCTTCGTCCCGACTTCCGAAGGATCGTACTGCTCCCAGAAGTCTATGGAGACTGTGTACAGGGTGTCTGCGGTTGCCTTGGATATCTGCGATAAGACATATCGATTAGTGAAAGTTTTGAACGCATCGAGTGCGCACACAACGTGGCACTTTGTGTGTGTGTGTGTGTGTTTGACCGTTTTCGAGAAAAGGTCTTACTACTGGAAAGTGCTGCGACGTTGACACGTTCTGTTGCGGCTTTCCTCTCCTCGGGTGAGACTGTTGCGTCACGTTGACATTGGGATTTAAAGTGCCATCTTCAGCCTGCTTCTGCGTCTCTTTCTCCTTCACGACGTCGTCTTTCTTCTCCGCTTTTTCGAGTTCCTTCGCCGTCTTTGGAATGTTCTTGCCGTGTTCGTTGTCTTCTTTCGCGTCTGCGGCGGGAAAGGTGGCGATAGGCTGGCCGAGAGCGACGCTAGCGCTCCGGCAAACGTGCTTGACCCTCGGCCCCTTCAACTCGAGCCTCTGTCGAAGAGGCTGCGGACACTGTTGATTTCCAACGGACGAGGTGAGCGCGGGACTTTTCATTTTCTTTCTCACTTTGATCCTATTGTTTTTCCTCCGCTTCTTGTTGGGCGATATGCTGATTGACGAGTCGACTGCAACAGAACGATTCGTCGTGTAATTGGAGAGTAAAAAAAAGAAACGCTATCGCAAAGAAGAGCATTCGAGATGCGAATCGACATTGCGTCTTACACTTGCCTATCTTTGTATAGAGGAAACCTCCGGTACCCTGATAACTCGTCTTTTGTCCTATTTCGAAGTTTTTCCAGCTCGTGGCGGACTTGAACAGATTCCTCTCGGAGCTATCTTCCGCGGGCCAGCTGAGTTTGGACGAGCCCAATTTTTGACAGTCTTCATCTTGACCGAGCGCCAAGGAGATACTCAAGGGATCTCTCATTATCGGCGGTAACAACGAATTTAAACCTGTCCTCAGGGCAGATGGAATGTTGTAACATTTCAAGCACATCTTCAACCAACAGGCCGGACACCTGGCCTTGTAAACGCATCTCATGAGGTTCCATTGCTGACTCCTCACGACAGGCGGAACCAAGCACAGACCGTCGCCTTTATGACACTGGAGAATGGGAAGAACTTTGTTGGAGGATTTGGCGCAAGCTTGACGTTTGATCATCTTGCTTATAAACTTGCGGCAGGACTCGCAACTGTGAATGCCGAACTTGCGCGCCTGTTTGACGAATCGATAAAACCGGACTGCGCCGCAAACGCCGCATTTTATAGTTCCTGTTAACCCTGGAATTTTTAAAGATTCATCATGAGACGGGAAATGTTGTGCACGTATGTGTGTGTGTGTGTGTGTGTGTGTGCGTGTTCAATTGATGTCGAATTATGAGTTTAAGTAAATACAAATGCAAGTGCAAGGGATGAGGAATACAAATGTACCACCTAGATTAGTACTTCCTCCCATGGTATTATTACTAGCGCTCGTCGTTGAAAATGGTCCTTCGGTTCCGGTTAAGCACTTATTATCCAACTTTAATCTCGCTTTCCTCAGAATAACTTTTCCACCGTTCAGTTTCATCCCGCTGAATTCGGACTGCTCATCTTCCGTATGATTGCCGTGTTCGCTCTCGCTCTCGGACAGATTGCTCTCCGTCTCGAAATTGTCCAATGTACTAACCACAGTCTTGTTACCATTTTCAGGCTGATCGTCAGCTTTCGCACAGCCATCTTCCGGTAATCCTGCACCACCTTCGGAGCTCGCCTGATTACTCACATCGGTCGCTATCTCACTTTGGGTTCCTGATCTCGTCTGAACCCTGGAAGACTCGAAGTTTGGAACATTGGAATCGGGAAGAACTTTTGTAGGAATAGAAATCTGCTTCTGATTTCTGGGAACTGTTGATTTCGCATTTTGTGCCGCTCTGCTCGGATTCGGCGAGCACTCCTGATTGTTACTGGAATTGTCGGGTGTGTCGTTTGATACTTTATTCTTACACGATATACTATGAGATTTCTTTACTTCTCTATGAGTGACTTTTGATATTTGTGCGTTTTGTACAGAACTCGCTAATTTCTCTGTGCCTTTCACTTGCTGGACTGTCGCAACCTCGACGTTAGAATCTACACTATGAACCACTTTTTTTGGCTTGCTCCGTGTCTCTTTGTCCTTCACTTTTGTACACTTGCTAGCCTCGTCCCCCTTCAATTTTGATTCCTGATTGCAGAGTTTGTCCGAATTTAACTTGACCTTCTTCACGTGTACACCGATCTCGTTTTCACTGTGCTCTGTACCAGAAACTTCCTCCAATTCCTCGATGAATCTTTTATTCGGCTTTATCACCCTCGACGAGTGCACGCTGCGAACGGGTAAAACAAACTTTCTCACTGTGCTGGCCTTCTCTCCAGGTTGCACCACCAAATTGCGCGCATTACTCCCATTAGATTTCGCCCTTTGCAGCAATCTCTTTGCGGTACTGTTACGCAACTGCCTAGTTCGTTGATGCTGATCCAAAATGTTGTTCACTGACTTTAGCACTGGACTCTTCAAGTAATTGGAAAATTTGATATTCTTGCAATTTTTACGATTCTTAGCTTTGTGTACATTCGGAGACTGTTTGTTAGTCAAGGGTACAGTTGTATCTTTAGTGTCTTCCACCGGTTGTGAATTTCCATCGGTAAGCTTCTCTGTGCTGTTCTTGATGTCTGAGGGAGAATTTTTAGCATCAGTGGTATCCTTCTTCGTGCTTGACTGTGGTGCAAGATTTCTGACTGTGGCTGAGGGTAATTTCTTGGTGCTTTCCTCTGCATTGTGTTGCTGTGTTTTTATATAAGACGCAGAAAGATTAGCTTCTTTAGTGCTAAATCCATGGAACGGTGGATGTTCCTGAGGGCAAAACAAGTACGTTAACATCAGACATGGCAAACTGCTTGACAACTATTACTAAGTATCTATTACCTGCATTTATTCATATTACAACTGTCACATCGTAGTTACTACTTATCATACTACACAATAAACAGTAAACAAACAAGTGGCTCATGAATTATGTCGGATTTCCCTACGTGACAACTTGTTCCCTGTAAACTCTCGCTTGCCCAAACTTGGCAGTTCTGTATTTATTAGCTACTGAAGAACTGCGGAGCAAGAATTTACAGAGACATACCTCACTGACAGCATTCGGCAACAAAATGTCTAGAGTGGCAAACGGCTCCAAACAAATGGCCACAAATGACACGACTTCTGTACAGCGTCGTACAGAAATGAAGGTAGTTCTCATTCGAGAGGCAAAGCATCCTCGCGGCGAGCGAGCGCGCGAGTCGTACACCTGCCATTCCGCGGCCGCGACGGTCCCGCCGTTAGGTTAACCCGCACGATACATGGCTCCGGAGCTGTTGAGCTCGCGCACATCGTGACTCCGGGTGCACCGTATGCGTCCTCAGTGGGACAACACGCGGCAGCGGGTCGCCGCGGCGAGTCGCAAGTTGCGTTGCGCCGCGTCGCACGATGACGCGAGACGCCTCGTCGGCAACGGCGACAGCGACAGCGACAACGACGGCTCCGTCGACGTCGACGTCGACGTCGACGTCGACGGCGACGGCAACGACAACGGCGATCGCAGCGTAGTAACAACGCTGGCGGGCGACGACGACAGCGGCCGCTCCGACGCGGCGATTTTTTCCCTCACCTTCTCGTTGTCACCGAATGTTTCGTTGAACAGGGAAAGTCCGTAGTAGATGTTCTCGGCGACGGTTACCGGATCGTTCTGCGCTACCTCGGGCTGGCCGAGCACCTTGATCCGTTTCCTGGTGGCCGTCTTCGGCGGCTTCCCGGGAAACTTGGACCTTCCCATGTTCACTGTTCTCAACGGCCGACCTCAACCTCGCAGCGAAATTCCGCTTCCATTTTACTCGCGATTTGTGCCCACGGCCGAGAGGCGCACCGACTCTCTCGCGTACACTATACACCGACGTACGCTCTCCGATGCACACGTACGCGCGCGCGCACACACAAGCACGCAGTGTTGGTCGCTCTCGGGCTGCCGCCTGCTCGGCCGTCGTCGGCCATCCTCGCCGGTGCTCGGCCGACGGCCGCGAAATACGCGCGTACTTCTCAAACAGAGAGAGCCTGGTCTACCAAGGCGGGCTACGCCGTGCCACGCTCGTGCATGTCGCGCGATAGGACGCGCGGCCTTCGCCGCGCGCGAGACGCCTTTTCGTCCGCTGAAAAATCCGCACGTCGGACGCGCAGCCGGCACGATCGCGCGCGCGAGGATCGTGCTCGTGCTCGAGAGAGACAGAGACGGGGAGAGAGAGAGAGAGAGAGAGAGAGAGAGGGAGGAGAGAGAGAGAGAGAGAGAGGGAGGGAGGGAGAGATAGAGAAAGAGGGGAACAGCGGCATTCGAGACGGAGAAGACGCGCGAAAACGCTCCTCCATGTTCGACAAGTGGTGATAATGGAAATACGGTATGAAGGATATTTTTCTCTTTGTAGAACATTGTAGCGACAGCGCGAGCACTCGTCGTTGTCGCCTGCGAAGCGACGTTCTCGAAAGCCGACGTCGTCGAGATCTCGAGATCGCGGTCGATATCATTGCGAAAGGTTAACATTCATCGCTGCCATTTCGGTGCATTGGAACACGATCGAGGTCCTTTTTGTTTTGCCCCATGTCGGACGGTGGAGACAGGGCTCTCGATAATGGCCGATAAAGATCTCGCGTGTTGATATCGGTGGCCGGAAAAAAACAGCAAGGGTCGTACACAAGTAACGAGCCCGATTCGGACGCTAGGTGTCACGTGACTCGCCACGGAGCGCCGCGTCCAGTTTGAACGCGGCATAACGCGCATTTAACGTTCCGCGCACATGTTAACGCTTTTTTTACGGAGCGAATGTTTTATTCATGAATGATTATCCGCGCACAACTTGCCGGGCTGGCTATCGATTTTGATTTCCCGCCCTAATCTGATCGGTCGGCAGCGACGGCGCGAGGACGCGACGGTGAAAAATAGAAATATTAAGGCGATCTCTCGCGTTCTACCGTAATTTGCGTGTCGAGCGGCTTGAAATTAGCTGCCCGCTCCAAAAAATCCCCGCTCTCTCGCTGCAAAAATATCAAAATATGCGCCCCTTTGCATTCTCTCTCTCTCTCTCTCTCTCTCTCTCTCTCTCTCTCTCTCTCTCTCTCTCTCTGTCTGCCTATCTCTTTCTCTCTCCTCTCCATCTCTCTCTCTCTCTCTCTCTCTCTCTCTCCCCCTCCCTCCCTCCCTCCCTCCCTTTCTCCCGCTCGCCTCCTCTTCTTTTCATTTTTCCTTTCGCGTGTGCAATCGCGAGAATAAATTTCTCACACGCGCGCAAACCTTGTTTCACGCGACGCTCGGCGACCGCTTTGGCCAATTACGTGCTTTATGCGTACTTTACGAAGTTACCCTCGTACACACATCGTTAACTCGTACGTACTTTGTTAAGAATCCATTGTTCATAACGTCGAGGCAATAATCCGCCATAAACGCGCGTGCGCTCACGCGGGAACACGAAGAAGGATGGAAACGTCGTCGTATCGCGCAGCGCGCGCGGCCGTCGCTATATCCATTTATTTACGTAGCCGGGTACACGTTGGCGCGTATCTATTTACTTATCTATATTTCATCGCGCTTTACTTCAACTCCGTCGGAATGAAGCCGGTATACTCTTACAAGCCCGGCGGCCGTTACGGAAGATTTACTTGTAATTCGTTTACTCCTTAGCGCGTTCCCAGCTTGCGCCGGTCGCCGCGCGGCGTGTTGTCGGTTCATTATTTCTGCCGAAGCTACCGCTCGAGCGCGAGCGCACGCGGGAATGAGGATCATTTCAGCGGCGCTTTAATTGCTTCCGGTATTCCATCGAACGTACGTTTACTCAAACAGTAATTAAGATCCGCCGTATAACGTCGTCGTTGCCGCGGCTCGCGGAAGAAAGGCGAGGCGCTGTGAAAGAGGCCGGGTTCGCGCTCGCGCTCGCGCTCCCGCTCGCGCACGCACTGTCGATTGATCGATTTCTCTCGCAGCCCCCGCGTATATTTCCGTGTGCACGCATATAGGACTTCTTCGACCGCACGCGGAGTCGCGGCGGAACCGAATGTACGCGGCGTGCGGCGATGTGCAATATTTAAGAGCGGCGTCGATGTTAACGGAACGGCGAGCGACGGCGGCGGCGGCGGCGGTGGCGAAATTAAAACTCGCGCCGCGTGAAATATTCGTCGCGACAATTTATTCAAGGGAAGTAATGCTGAGAGACGAGAGAGCTACACTCGCCCGCGTAAATTTCTTATTACTCTTGAGTAAACCGCGTGCACACGCGCGCGGTCGAACAGCGCAAAAAGTGCCGTCGTCCTGCGTAAAGTTGTAAACGATGAAACTTACAGAGCGACCTATTATCGCTCGATACTTCTTCGCCGCGAAAATTCCCTAATGCGTTCCACCTGTTTGCTAAACGGGTTCAGACGCGAGCGAGTAAGAGGCTCATTAAACTATCACGTTCGAGAGGCACCACTGACGGCCGCGGCGCGCGGTAATCGTTTATGACGGCAGATGAAGTGACAGCGCGCGCGAGGCATTCGACGTGACGACTGCAGCGAGGGAAAATCCGAGCGTTTTCAACGTACCTCGTATCCGTCACACCCGATGGATAAGAGTACGCAGTAAACGTAGACGTGTGCACCTAAAAAAAAAAGTAATTTCAAGCGGAATCATCTCAATTTTAGAGGATTTTATTCTTATATGTAGCCTCATGAAGATTCCTCTAAGATTAAGGGGAAAATATTATAAACACATTATTCTCTTAAAGTTAGAGGGATTATATGTATAATGCAAATCTTATTGATTTTAATATAAATTTCCTCTTATTCACAGGTTATTGAGTCTTTTTTTAAAAGAATTATTATTTATTCCTTATTATACTTTATTCTTACTGGTTATACTGATTAATTTGAGCAAATTATTATAATGTATATAGCGAAAAGTAATATATATATATACAGGGTGTCCCATTTTAAAGGACCCGCTCAAATATCTCAGAAACACTGCGTTAAGTCAAAAAATGCGTAAGACAAAAGTTGTTTGACTTGAAGGGGGACATAAGAGAACGATAGCATTTTATTTATAGATGGCTCCACTTTCGAGATATTCACTGATCATCAATTTTCTTAAATGGAAGTCCAAATTTTTTATTGTATCATCTTTTTCTACCAATTAGTTTGAACAACTTTTGTCTGACACATTTTTTTATTTGCTTAATATATTTTGAAATATTTAAGGAAAACTTGATAACTTTTCCAACATTTATCTTACAATGTCTCACTAACTATTCGTCGAAACAAAAAATAGTATTAGACTTTTTTACTTTATTTACTATCAAGAATATATTACTATAATAGTGTCCTAACTTTTGTTAACTTATCGACCTTTGAAAATTTCAAAATTATTAAATTGATAAAAGTTAGGGCACTATTATAGTAGTATATTCTTGAGTATAATAAAATAAAGTAAAAAAGTCTAATACTATTCTTTCGACGAATAGTTAGCGAGATATCGTAAGGTAAATGTCGGAAAAGTTACCAAGTTTTCCTTCAATATCTCAAAATATATTAAGCAAATAAAAAAGTGCTTCAGACAAAAGTTATTCAAATTGGTAGAAAAAGATGATATAATGAAAGAATTGGGATTTCCATTTAAAAAAATTGGTGTTCAGTGAATATTTCGAAGGTGGAGCCATCTATAAACCATATAAAAATCTATAAAATGCTATCGCTGTCTTATGTCCCTCTTCAAGCCAAACAACTTTTGTCTTAAGCATTTTTCGATTTAACCTAGTGTTTCTGAAATATTTGAGTGAGTCCTTCAAAATGGAACACCCTGTATATATACATGTATATGTACTTCTGGCTCCAGTTCTATAATAAGTAGGCACAAATGAAATAAGATCATCATAACAAACAAATTTCCAATCAGTTTTGTGATAAACTTCATAGCTACAAAGATGTTCATCATAACCAGTTGTATGAAACATAGTTAAAAGAAAGAATATATTATTTAACTTGTTGCAATAGATTATAAACTGTATTTGACTAAATATGGATAAATTATCTTCGTTATATGTTACTACAACACACATACCTTTTTTAAAAAGCGTTCCAAATATTCTGACCCATGAATATATGATTATTTTCGTTCATGTCTGGAGGTAGAGCATGACTGAACAAAAGAAGCCGACATTCAAATCGACATATTCCTCTTCTTGTAAGAGGCAAGTTAATTGCTATAAGAGGAAATCCTCTTGAAGTGAGAGGAAAGTAGAATAATATCAAATAAATTTTAGACGAATGGTTCACTTTAATCGCTTTATCGAAAGAGCAATCCTCTTTCTGTAAAGGGCTTCGCTTAGAATATGAGACTATGGGAGAAATCATTCTATTGATAGAATTTGATAGATATTCTATTGATAGATATGGATAGAATTATATAATATAATATAATAGAATAATTACAAATAGAATATTTTTTTTAGGTATGCGCGTAGACTGTGCGTTTCGTAAGAGGTGCTGCCGTGCGTAAAGATCTGTGCGTAAAAATCGACTAGATCTGTAAATCGACGATCGATTTCCTGCGCGCTGCGGGCACATTCGATCTTCGCCCAACTTCATTCCTGTCGGAGAAAGCTAGACGAAGATGGCGCGCCTGTGCAGGCAGCGGAAGGGAACTATCGCTGTCCTTTGTACGTATCTCTCTCTCTCTCTCTCTCTCTCTCTCTACCTCTCTCGGCCTCAAAGCTGTCGTAAGAAGAAGCGGTCTCTATTTGCGTAAGTCTACAATTATTTATCATCATGTTTGCAATGTACATCGATCCGTGTATCCGCGTGTACAGTGTGTGCGTATGAATCTATGACAATTTATCTGTAAATCTGTTTCTCGGCTGCTGTCATGGCCGATTGCCGTCAATCGCGGCGATTTGGCGCACTCCTTACTTCGCTGTGTCTAAACCGCTTCGCGAACAAGTGTCTGCGCGTGTCGTGTGTCGCGACACACACGCTTATACACCAATCAACGCTGTACACTTCTGTTGAAATAACTGA